TAAAAACAATTCGTGAAGTATCGGGAACTATAACTTGAAATTAATGACCCTCTCAAATTTGCAACTTTAACGTCACTTGCTGGTGCTATAATAATATTCATTTGATAACTTTAACAAACTCAAAAAACACCTTTCCAAAAAAAAGAATGAGAAACGAGAAGATTAAACTAATGGCCACTTCTATCGAAATATCATAATTTTGGCTAAACATAAAGTACCTTGAAAAGATGTGGTGACCTCTCAATTGGTTTGCCATCTCCCAATATACTTTTCCACATCAGATCCAATGCATTCTCAAGTAAGTCAGGCCGCTTTCTCGAAAGCAAATTTATCAGTAAATACGCAGGTCGTGAACGATGCACTTCAAAACTAGTAACGTCCTAAAGCTACACTGTTGAAAATTAAGGGAACCAATAAATGCTAATCAAAAGCCATCAAACATCATCAAGGACTATACAAAAAATACTTGGAGTTAAGAGTCAGCACAATGATTCCGCATCGGAAAACAAATTAAAAGAGACCTCAATTGATAAAAAAATAAAGCATACTTCTGGTATACTGAACTTGATTCCATAAGGTTGTCCCAATGCCGTTAACTCCTCAAGTAAATACTTACGCTTCAACGACACCATCCACCACACTGGCTGAGTACCCAAAAAAACATATCTCTAGAAGGTTTACAACAAAAACAAGGACAATTTCTCAGCAGTGATTTTCAAATCATACACAAAACATTTTGCCACCCATATCTCTACAAACCTCTATTTCACGCTGATCGTGAAGATAGTTTTTAGCAGAAAATACAGAAATTAAAACTTTCTAAAAAAACACGATGCATACTTCTTCGCCTTGAAAATACGACACTGAAGAAATATTCCCAAACCCTGTATTGAACTTTTAAAAAAAAGCGTATCTCACCACTTATTAAGCGCAAATAATATCCTCGTACTGGTACTAGAGAAAGTACTGCATTTTTTTTAAGCCATTCATTCTTTTTACCTTGCAACATCTGAAACAGTCTCAGTAGATAAAGTACTTTTTTAAATAAGAACTCGAAAATGTCACAGTGAACTCATAGAAGTCCCGGCTGAATTTGAATATTTGGGAAGATCCATTTGCGCAAAACTCAAGTATGACAAATAAATTCCAACGATGAGTTACTGCTATAATCCGAATATCAACACGACAAAGAGACTTTAGTTACGTAAGTAAAGAAGATTCTTTATAGCTTCCTTCCATGAATGGCTGTTAACAAGATGACGTAAGAAAATTAGGTATGATAGAGAAATAATAACAAACCTTAAAACTTATCCAAGAGTGTGGACAGCAAATATCGACAAAGCATGTAATACTGAATTTTTTCATTGCAGTGCTCATTTTCACAAAGGAAGAAAGGTGCAAGGAGCTAAACGGCAGCTGTAAAGAAAGACGAAGACTGCCCTTTCCTCTTTCACTGATCGCGTTCAGAGAACTCCGAGAAACTGCCAAAAACTTCAAAATGATGTAACACCTTTTGAAGTCCCGTTCGTATTTTAAAAAAAGTTTATATAGAATGAGCCGAAAATGAAGCGAGTTGATGCTGTAAATGACAGTGGACAACAGCTAACGGTAAATATGCATTACTTTGCTGCAAAATTTTTTGCAAATAAGCAAGCTCAACTCTGCGCCAAGAGAAACCACGACAAGCATCAGTTCCGGAAGAAAAAAAAAGTTTAAAAAGAAGGAAAAATCGGACAAAATTTAAAGGTACCTTGAGAGTATAAAAAGACGCTTCTTTTCATTACTAAAAATACTAATCTCCAGTCCCTACAAAAATAAATACTTAAATCTATTTTATTTACAGGCAGGAACATCAATTTGCTTTCCTGCCACCTCCTCGAGAATATATTCTTCTAACGAGTAAACCAACAAAAGTAAAGAGGAAAGTTAAGGATGAAGCAGTCCTTGGAAAAACTAGAAACACTTCTTTAAAAACTTCAAGAAATTTTCCATCATAAGCCAGACAAGTTCCAGATGAAAAATTTGTTTCCAAAGATCGCACCACGCTTGATCTTAACAAAAAAAATAAAAAATAAAAATGTCATACAAAAAAGAACATAATAAGCACTGAAGTAACAAGATACGACATACTCAACATAAACTAGCGTATCTTTAGACTAATTTTTCATCATTTGGATGGATGTTTGAAAAGTTTTTACAACACATTTCCAGTAGCGAGCCACGAAAACTGAGAATAAAACGTTTGCCCTTAAAAATTTAACGTACCTTTCGACCGAACAACAACTGATCATAAATATGGATAAAACGAATGTTAGGATCTCAATGATGTGCTACGGAAAACACGAAGGCATTAAAAAAACAAGTTCCACCAAGAAAAGCTACTGCTTTAGATAAATTAAATACACATTCATAAATGATGTCCTTTTCCGTCCCCATTCTAAACTACTTAATCTTATGACCCGGAGGACGATATCATTCACCACTAATTAAGGCTACCTGTCTTGATAACCAATTTGCATTTTCTACAACTGCTCCCATAATTAGTGTAGACCATAATTAATTGTAAAGCAATCATTAAGAATGCTTTAAGACTGTAAAAAATCATAAACATCTATACGTAGGGAATAAGATTACCCACCACTGTAGCAGAGCAGTACTTGATATGCCATTACTCGGCTAAACAGCGTATCACAGTAATAAGAACGTAATCTAAGCATAATCCATAGATTTAAACAATAAATATAAGAAAGCAGAATCTCTTCATATGCCACTTATTTTCATAAGGACGCTACAATTGCAGAAATACAGAAATAGTATCGTTTGATCGGTTACAGTGACGTAATGGCTACAGCAGATTGTAGATCCTAGGCTTATATAGCAGATTGATTACTGTCTAAAATGATAGCCAAAATCTTTACATATTCTTCTGATATTTTTCAGTTCCAAAAAAAAAAAAAA